ATATATATATATATATATATATATATATATATATATATATATATATATATATATATATTGTAAAAGTATCAAATATTTAATGTTGTTTCGATAGGGCATTCCCATGTGGAGCGTGAAATATATGACTAATTATCATATATGTTGATATAGTTGTCAATCGATTACATATTAACCCTATATTTAGTTATTTTTAATATTTCGATTTTTATATTATATAATAATATATATACTAACATCGATACAGTTATCGAACGATCCTCACTTCTCATTATTATTTTTCTCATTCGTAATAATTAAGTCTTCAACGATATTATCATCCCTACTATTAATTTTTTATTTTTATTAATAAAATTGATGATGTTAGAATAAATGAATTTAGATATTTTATTTTTATAATTATTAAAAAAAATTAATATAATTTTTCAAATATAGAAAACGGTGTAATTAATCCTGAAATATATGTTATTTTTGATCTGAGAGACAGGATTTAGTGACGGTACTGCTCATTTCGTTCCAGCAGTCTGGAGGCTCGTTGGTTGCAGCTCTCATTTCGCTGGAGCACTAGTCAAAATAATTGGGTTAACAATCGTGCCCTTTCTTTCTTTCGGTCTGTTAGGGTTGCCCACCCACCCTTCCGCTCTCTCGCCTCAAAATGGAGGTTTCCGTTCGTTTATTCGGATCGACCGCCGCTCTCCATCGCCAATTCCGGCTGATCACCGTCCCCTCCTTACCTCTCCCCCTCCCAAACTCTAGATTTCCTCCGGTTGGCAGCAGCGGCTGCGGCTCTCCGACGCCGTTCGTCTTCCATCCGTGCTCTCGACTCGCACGACGATCCGCCGCCGGCCTTTGCTCCTCCCCGCCGCGATTGGCCAGTTCCTCCCTCTCTCTCCCACCTCTCCTCTCCCTCTCCCATCTCTTCGCCTCTATGTCTCCCCAAGAGGGAGCCCTCGCCTCCGATTCGGGTTTCAAGGAGGGCTTCGTCAACTGGGGTCGAGATCGGGATGTCCTGGAGGGGGGAGATTTAGGGCTTTACAGCGAGAAGGGAGCGATTTGGAGGGTCGTGATGCTCGGTTGGCTGGGAGCTGAGCCAAAGCATCTCAACAAGTACGCGGGGTTGTATACCTCCAAGGGGATCGAACCGGTGAAGTTCGTCATCCCGGTGAAGGAGCTCTTGGGTTTTGATCTGGGGAGGAGGGTACAGGATAAGATTGCTCGGTTCACTACAGAGCTTGTTTCTTGGTGCTCGCAGACTGAGGAAGATGGCAGAGAGCGTTGTCTGCTCTTTCACACCTTCAGCAATACGGGTTGGCTAACGTAAATAACTGACCTACCTGACCTATTTAATCAAAATTATAGAGATAACTGGAGTAAATTTAGGATCATGAAGTCACGCTATATGCATTGATTCCAGATCATCTTGTGTTGCACCATATAGTTAACGCATGTTATTATCAACATTAAACAAAAAATCTGTAAAAATTACTTTAGTGAGCATATTTCTGTGGAACTCTACAAATTGTAAATAGGCCACATTTCCTGTGAGATGGTAGCAGATTCTTCCTTATTAGCTATTCCTAAATCACTGGGCATCAATGCTGCCTTTCAATAGCCTTGTCGATGTTTTTATCAGAGGAGAAACTATTTGTTGGTTTTGCAGCTATGGAAGCATACTTGAGAACTTGCAAACAAGGCCTGATATAATTGAGAAGATCAAAGGATGTGTTATCGACTCTGGAGCTGACCCTGAGATAAGCCCTCAGGTTTGTGTACCGCTACTCTTGTGGGTTGCATTATATAATCTAATGTGAGCTTATGTTTCTGAATTTATCAAACGAGAGAGGATTGTTTAACTTGCGAGATAAGCATATTTACTTTATTAGACTCGGGTTCCACACCAGCATTCCACATTGTACTCATAACTTATCAACTTCTTTCTTTTGGTGGCACGAATAGTTAATGCTTCATTCTCGAGGTGACGGTATCTGATGATTTCAGAATAAGTTGCAGCATGAATAATATTGCATCTGTGGAAAACAAATACGCATGCAGATTGCATTAGGATTGAATTTTATGGAAGTTATCATAAATTCAAATTTTAAGATATTGCTGATGTCTTGGCATCTTTCCTCAGTCATACTTGTGAGTTTTTTTAAATCAAAATCACTCCAGCATTTCTTGTGATCAGATCTGTTTATTTGTTTTATTGACTATATCTCATGTTTTCTGGTTGCTTACAACTAACATCCCTACTTTCTATCAACTTATTAATTATTTAGAAAATTGGAGCAGTTTATACAATGCAAATTTCCAGGTGTGGGCTGCAGGATTTTCTGCTGCTTTGCTGAAAAAGCGTAGCTCCTTGATAAGCTCTTCTGATGAAAATAATGGAGTAGCCAAACCGGATATGAAAATGAATGGAACGGGCACAAAGGACAATAGTTCCTCTTTTGCTGAAATTTTAACATTATCACTTCTAGAAAAGTTTTTCACATTGGTTCTAATGCTGCCTGACGTAAACCAGTAAGTGCTTCTTTTTCTGCATATTTGTTTTTCTTTTTTCTTTCTATCCTTGATAGGCTTCTATATATGCATTTCCTTTGAGATTGATGCTCTGACAAAAGAATGCTCTCTTTAAATTGATTATATGCTAGAAAAGAATCCTTTTGAAGTTAATTTCAGCAATAGACTAATGCTATTTTTCTATACATAAATCTAGAGATACTGAGACTGACAGAAACGAAGAATGACATCGTTGAACTGGATTGTACTGTGATAAGTTTAATTTTTTTTTCCTGGAACTGTACTATATAACAGTAAGGTATATTCTCACAGGAGGCTGAGGAAGACCATCTCCATACTGTGGAATAAACAGCCGCTCTGTCCTCAGCTCTATCTGTACAGTTCAGCTGACATGGTCATTCCAGTCAACTCAGTAGAAAACTTTATCAAGGAGCAGAAGACCTCAGGAAGAATTGTACATGCTCATGATTTCGGTTCATCCCCACATGTTGACCATCTAAGGAGCTACCCTCATATGTATTCTGCCAAAATTACTGAGTTCATGGAAGAGTGCTGCACTGTGGTAGTCTAAACTAGTGACCCTTTATTATCATTTTTGTTGTGGTTTACTGATGAGGATCTGAAGTAAATAGCAAAATTTATTTTTTTAACAGGTGCCACAGGTGATTTCTTTCCAAAAAAAAGGAAACTTTTATTAAGTTAAATATCTATTACATCCCATACCTTTCCTCCTCAGAGCACAGAATAGAATACAAAAAGTATGGCCAGTTAGATCTCCACACCTGATCAACTTAAAAATCCTTATCTTGTACAGCTAGGGAATGAGAACTCCTGTTACCCTGTCTACAAACATGGTTGATCTTTACAACCCAAAAAATAGTATAAAGAGTTTGTGATCTTTCAGTTACACTTGTTTAGTGTTTTTGGCAGGACACAAGGCTAGAGAGGACACTAAAAGAAAGGAATTGCACATGCTTTGCAGGAGGGCATGGCCAAACTGGAAATTGAAAATGTTCTACAAATCCTCTGGATTCTATCCGTCACTCGAGTTCCTTCCTATTTTTGCTGTCTTTCTGGCCTTTGTGACAATGTTTTACAGATTAGTCATCTGAATTCACTTTCTTTCCTCCAAAAGAAGATAAAAAAGTTTCTTCCTATGGGGAAATTGTGTTCTTCCTTATTTTTCATTTTGTATTCGTTGGCTCTGTTATCTTGTGCATATGACATTACTGTATGCTTATTTGTTAAATATTCTCCCCTTTGGTGGGTTTTTAGCTAGTGTTGCTTCATAAAATGTGAGCTCTGCTCAGCTACTAATAATCGATTTATTTATTTCAGATAACAATGTGAAGAGGAACTGAGGATTGTACCTGAGCACGGTGTAAAATCAACCGGTGCAATTAATTCTACCTGACATTCGAAGTGATCATAGAACTCCTCAGTCTCTCAAACATTATTTGTTTGCGCCGGTTTGGTCATGGCATCATAATAGTCAGATCGCAAGTTCTTTTGACAGCAGTGTAACGACGTGTACGATGAGAAGTTGCATAGAATAATTGGATAAATTATCTAATAGTTAGTTATCTTTAGTATCTCGATCTATACATCTTAAAAAGGTATATTAATATCTCTATAATTATAAAAATAAAATATATAGATTTATTTATCTTAATGGTGTTAATTTTATCGATAAAAATATGAAAATAAAGGGTAAAAAGATAATTTTATGTTCGGTGGTCGTGGATGACAGCATTGTTAGTGTCGACCTGGACATAGTTGCTTGGTCGTTAACGACGACATCGATGAAAATGCAAAGCGACATCGTTCTACATCTGCATTGGTGTCGACGTAGATGCAGAGCGGCGAAAAGGTTACTCTACGAGTGATGGTATCGAAATTGATGTGATAGCAAGGGTAGCGGTAGCAACTCTAGTGATTCAAGCTTCGAGTCGAGGCTAAATCTGCCCAATGGGTTAACGACGTCATCCATCTCCACGAGGAGCACACCATTGATCTCATTATTGCTTGTCTCGTATCGTTCTAGATCTGTGTCGATACTAACGTAGTTGTCGAACAATAATTATGTCGACATCAACACAGATGATGGTGGTTGTCGCTCGATAATTGCGTTAGCGTCGATGTAGATATAGAGCGATGCAAGGCGGGTGACGATGAAGTCGATGGTGCGCTCTTTGTGGAGGCAAGTGGGGTCATTGACTTGTTGGGTAGATCCCAACCTTGGCTCGAAATTGGGGTCATCGGAGCTCTTGCTGCTCCTTCAACTATCACGTTAGTTTTAGTATCATGTCTCATCGAGCAGTCTTTTCGTCACTCTATATTTGCGTCAGCATCCTAGCAACACCAATGTCTACCAAGCAGTCTTTTCGTCGCTTTATATTTGCGTCAGCATCCTAGCAACACCAATGTCTACCACCATCGACGCTAGCGATGTTATCGACGCTAGCGATGTTATTGACTGCCACCTAACGTTAATTTGTTGTACCTTTTAGTTTTATGTTTTCATTGATAAAACTGATATCATTAGGATAAATTGATCTAGATATTTTATTTTTATAAATATAATAATATTGATATAATTTTTTAAAAATATAAAAATTAAGACGTTAAAGGTATCTAATAACCGGAGACAATATGTAATTGGTTTGTTAATGCTTCCATCCAAACTTACACCGCTAATACAAACCAACACAAACATCATTGATTTTGGAAATAAAAGTCATAAATATTAAACTTCCAACTCTCGCTAGATCATCAGCAAGAAAAGGCAGGAACGCACATCAAATTTGTAGGACTTTCCTCCATGGTCATCTTCATCTCTGTTCAGATACCGGAGGTCACTTGGGAGGAAAGATTTCACAGACTCAAAGGAAACCCCCTGCATCCATTCATGATTCCGGCCCATGATCCGAGGCAGTCGGAGTACCCCATTGGGTGACGTCCACCATCTGGACACCACTGTTCCTGCCAAGCAAGCGCAAGAATTCCGTGTTTGTGTTCCTGTTCTGTCCAAAAGGGTCCTCTATCCTCTGACAAGCCTGCATCAGTACCGCATGGCTTCCATCCATGAACACCTCACGCGTGTTGTCATCTGACGGGAAACCCTGGGTTGCAACCCCGAGACCTATGTCACCCTCGCTCACGAAGACGAAGCTCTGAGAGCTCCCCTGCATGGCTCCGTACTTGGTGCGCATGGGATGAAGACCGCTAGAGAAGCTCCCGAGCTCTGAATCGTACTTGCATTCCGCAAAATTTAGGTTGCCTGGGATCTCAGTCAATGAGGGGAACTGTTGCGGTTGCGCTCCGTTGAAGGAGGATTGTAGATCGGTTGCGCCCGGCAAGGAGAAGGCCGGCTGACGATGTGGTTCGGCTGCCTTCTTGGCTGCCGGGCGCTTGTTCTTTCGGCAGCCGCCGCCGACCGGGACATTGCGGAGAGCTCCGCCTTTAGTCCAATACCTCCTGCACGCCTTGCAGAAGTACCTCGGCTGCGAGAGGCTGTAGTTGTTGTAGTAGCAGAACTTGGTGTGAGTCGAGTCACACCTGGGGCACTTGGCCTGCTCCTGCTGCGGCCTCAACCTTCTGTCACCGACTGGCAGCCTCGAGCATGAAAGCAGCTCCCCGGGTGTCGAGGAGAAGTCCATTCCGCCGTCCTCGCGAACGACGCTCTGCATTAAAGTGCGAGAAAAGAAAGGAAACAGAAGATCGATGAGCACTGACCCGATCGTCATCGTAATGTGTGAGCTGTGGTCCTAAAAACACATTATGCGCACTGGTTTCGGTGCCAGCAGAATAAACAAAGGTTAGAGGTCATGATGTGCACGAAGTCCATCGAGAGCCAAGAGTTACAGGCTCATTTGGTTTAGATGAAGCTCTTTCAGGTCTGACTTGGAAGCATTTGGAAAGACTTCGATGTTCAGGGAATGAGCAGACTTCTCTTATTAGCAGATAACCAAAGAACATCGATAAGATAATATTCATGACTGTAACAAGAAAAGGTGAGGACCGATGAATGCTCAGAGAAGGTTTTGTGCAATTGCTTACACCTTTAGCCAGTCAGATGATTCCATGAAGATCTGCATCGAAGGAGTGGAGATTATAGCCAGCCTCTCGCAAATGAATCAGAGAGGCTAAGATCAAGAACATCCAAGAAAAAGATGAGCTAGTGATGTTGCAGCAGCAGAAGAAGAAGAGGTCTTGAGACTAGGCTGAACGAAGTATTTATATATATAGGAGGGAAGAGAGGGGAGGAAAGGAGACGAGAGATAGTGACAGGAAATGGGAAGGGCAGAGTACCACTTTGGTTGGGTCAGTGAGGTGGGAAGACGAATGTGAATAAGAAGGGGAAAAAGAGTGGCGGAACGGCAACTGAGCTCTCCTTTACTGACTTCCTCGTCGAATCCCCACCTTCACCTTGTCCGTCGTGGTGAACAAGCCGAAGCCTACCATCTCACTGACGTCGTCTGGCTTTTATTTGTCTTAGCCCCTCCCTTGTTTGCGTTCTTACTACCCACTCGGCATTAATTAATTCGAAGATCTCACTGATAAAAGTATTTTTATCTTTCATTGAAATAGAAAATATTTTCAGATTTATAGAGAAAGTTTATTTCCTGATGTTGTTAGATTTTTTTTCTCCTTTATATATATATATATATATATATATTCGAATGCTCCTGCCGCCGAGCAAGAATCCAGTCAGCAATGGGCCCGAATTGGGACCCGCCAACTGTCCTTGCGACACGATCTGCCAGCCGTCGGATGGAAGAATCCAGACGTGTCGGCGCCGTCATGTGACGGGTACGTTTGGAATATTTGGGGCTTCGCCAAAGCCGAAAGGCCACTCCACGCGTGGGACCCGTTCCTCTTCGCCACTCTGTAGCAACGGTGTGGTGGAGCCCACCTCGCTCTCTTTTTCTCGTATCTCTTCTTCGTCTCGTATCTTTGGTTTTTCTCTTTCCAGCTTTTTATGTTTCTTCCTAGTTACTTTTCCTCGGTCCTTCGTTCTCCGCCCACAAGCAACGTATCGATTCGCACAGGCCCACGCACATGGGTCCCATAAGGTGACATCGGCGTGACCTCCTGTTCTCCTCTTGGTGGCGGTACATGCAGTGGTAGCGAAGTCGCGGATAGAGGGGTTTGCCACGTGCCACGTAACTGAGGTGTCGGCAAGACGTTAATGGTCAAATGTAATCTCCCACGCGTGAAGATCTCACGTCGTCGTCGTCGTCGTCCCCATCGCCATTTCCCGTGCTGTCTCTTCCGATCGATCATGTCGCTTTCCAATCGAGATAGCCACTCAGTCAAGAAAGCAAGAACGAAAGATTGTGTCGTGGGGGTTGGTCGTGGTCGGTTGGGACGAGGATAAGTTTGATTCGGTTTACAAAATCTAAAGAACCGAGCTTTCCGCAATCCCAATTTCCCAACCGATTACCAAAGCTGATGCGAATGTGTCGAAGAGAACACTGATTAGGTCCGCAAGCCACAATCACAAACACACCGTTTGGTGTTCTGAAGGGTCATGAAGATGACCACAAGATCATCACGACGTTTGCAAAGCTCCCTTCTCACTATGTTATCCATTCTACACCGCGTTTCTCCTCTCCCATCCATTCAACGTTCATGTTCATCCAATTTGCTTTTATCTTTGTCAAAGTTTATTAAGAAAAAAATATCATTTATGTCTTGATCAATCCGATGTAATTTGAACATGTGCATAGAATTGTCTGAAATCACTCCGAGATTACTGCGATATGCCTCCGAGATAACTCTGAGGTGGCTCCAAGGTAAAAGTGTTGAGCCCTCAAGGTAGATCCTAGATGACTCTAAGGTGAAGGTATTGAGCTCCTAAGGTGCTACTTGCATGAAGATCAAGGTCGGGGAGATTTCCTGACCCGATCCATCCAATGTTCAAATTAGTAATCCGAAATCCCTAAATATGAGCTCGAGTAGTTCGAGAAATGAAAGAGTCCTCCCTATTTCTTTATTTAGAATGTATTTTTATATCTTGAAGTAGGGAAAGAAAGTTTTTAATGTCGTTTCTTGTTATAAAAAAAGATAAAGGAGTTTAGGATTGTCTTGTAATAAAAGGAGAAAAGAAAGTTTATGATTGACTTTCTAGCTTGTGTTTATCTACTTTTAATCTTTATACAAATAGGCGAATGGAGGATGACTTGGATGACATATAACAATCACATGTTAACTGACGGTAGATTCTATATCATTACCCCCCTTACACGTCATTTGGTTTTTTTAGCATAGGAGTGTTTGAGATCTCATCCTATAGGTTGGGTTTTTCCAATTTAAGTGTCTGGGGTACGTTAGGCTTATGCCTTCATCGTAACAATTTTTTATTAGTGTCGGTTGAGTTTTCCAACTCAAATGCTTCGGGCACATTTAGCTCATGCCTCTGTTATATTGGATTTATCTCGGCATCGGTCCGGTTTCTCGACTCACACACCTCGGGTACATTTAGCTTGTGCCTCCACCATAGCAGATTTACCTCGACGTCAGTTGGGTTTTCCAACTCACAAGTCTTGGGTACATTTGGTTTGTGCCTCCATCATAGCTGATTTACCTCAACATTAGTCAGGTTTTTCGACTCACACTTCTTGGGCGCATTTAGCCTATGCCTTCATCATAGCGGATTTATCTTAGCACGGGTTGGGTTTCCTTGACTTATGTGTATTAAGCGCATTTGGCCTTGTACTTCCATCATAGTGAATTTATCTCAGCGCGGATTTATCTTGGTGTGGGTCGAGTTTTCCTAGCTTATATGTCTTGGATGCATTTGGCCTTATACCTCCATCGAAGTGAATTTATCTTGGCGCATTTCGAGTTTTCCTAACTTATGTGTCTTTGGTGTATTTGGCCTTACGCTTCCATCATAGCTGATTTATCTTGGTGCAAGTTGGGTTTATTTGACTCACGTATCTCGAGCGCATATGGTCTTGTACTTTTGTCATAGCAAATTTATCTTGGTGTGAATCAGGTTTTCTCGACATAGGTGTCTCGAGCGCATTTGACCTTTCTCCTATGTCGTAGCAGATTTATTTTAGCATGGGTGGGTTTTCTTGACTCGCGTCTCGAGCGTATTTTGCCTTATGCTTTTACCATAGCAAATTTAACTTGGCATGGGTCAGGTTTTCTCAACTTATGCATCTTGAGTTCATTTAGCCTTACACCTTCATTATAGCAAATTTATATTGGTGTGGGTCAGGTTTTCTCGACTCATGCGTCTTGAGCGTATTTGACCTTGCTTCTCCACTATAACGGATTTATCTTGGCATAAGTCAAATTTTCTTGACTCACACATCTCGGGTGCATTTGGCCTTGTGCCTTTACCATAGCAAATTTATCTTGGCACAAGTTGGGTTTTTTTTACTCAAGCGTCTCGAGCGAATTTGGCCTTGCGCCTCCATTGTAGTAGATTTCAAATCTATTCTCAATTGTGGCATATCTTGGGTCTTTTTGCTATGGCAAGCTTTAAATCTTCTCTTCGTTATAGTGGATTCATGTCCCTTCTTCGTCGTAGCAGATTTTGGGTCTTCCCGTAATGGAGGGCTTTAAATCTTCTTCCTACTATGATGAATTTCCTATCCCTTCTCTATCTAGCAAATCTTAGGTCTTCCCATCGTGGCGGGCTTCAAATCTTCTTTTTGTTGTGATGGATTTCAAATCCCTTCTTTGTCATAGTGAATATCAAGTCTTCTCGTTATGGCTTGCTTCAAATCTTCCTTCTGCCATGGTAGGTTTTATGTCTCTTCTCTACTATAGTGGATCTCGGGTCTTTCCACGATGGCGGGCTCCAAATATTATTTTTGTCATGGTAGATTTCATGTCCCTTCTCCACTGTAGTGGATCTCAAGTCTTCCCATCATGACATGTTTCAAATCTTCTTTCCACTATGGCGGGTTTCAAATATTCTTTTTGCCGTGATGAGTTTCATGTCCCTTCTCCATCGTAGCGGATCTCGAGTCTTCTCATTGTTGTGGGCTTCAAATCTTCTTTCCATCATGATGGGTTTCATGTCCCTCCTCTACTATAACGAATCTCGGCTCTTCCTGCCATGGCGAGCTTCAAATTTTCTCTCCACTATGGATGATGTCGATTTAGATTGACACATGGCGATGCTCTTCGTTGGAGACGTCACGGTGGATCTCATTGCCTATGATGATCTTGGCAATAGACCGAAGGTCAAGCTGGTCGATGGTTGCTTATACTCGGCTCTTCTTCTTCAAGGCAGACAACGATCACGATAACCAAAACTCCACAGAGAACATGAAGGTCTCTTCCACGGTGAGCATGGGGTATAAGAGGTTGTCATGTATGTCATAAGTGAAGATCAACTCAAGGAGCCAACTCTCAAGTTTCTTGTCATTGAGGATGATGGGACCTGATAAGCTTTCCCACACGATGCGGGTTGCAAGGGCATCGATTAGGGTGGGCTTGCTGGAGCCATTCATCCCTAGCACTGTGAAGATCTCCCCTTCTCCTACCTCATCAAAGATAAAATTCAACAACATCTCGATCTTAGAGATTGCCTTTGGCGGCATAAGGCTAGCGGAGGGGGGGGGGGGGCAATGGCAAAGTCATTCTTGGGTAAGAGATAACTTTTGATCCTTCTTCACATTGTATGAGAGATCGATGGAGGCAAGGACAACGGGGACAAAAGCAAAAGGCTAAGTAATCGCCAACGTCACCTCTAGGGCCGAAGTCATGAAGCTTGAGGATGTGGTGCTTCAGGGAGACATAGCCATAGCTCTTAGCGACATCACCATTGTGAGTGTCACTGATGCACTTGAACAGCTTACTATGGGTAGACTTACCGTCATTGTCACCTCTGGAGTCCTAGCTGGTATTAGCTCAAGAGTTGTTGGATGAACAACTAGCGATGGTGATGGACTTGCTGCCACCACCACCTCCAAAGTCCTAGTTGGTATTAGCTTGGGGGTTATGGTAGCCAAGCAGGCCGTCACGATCGATGTCCTTGGCCAGCCACTAAGGTGTATCGTAGATTAAACAAAGATAACTTATCCATGAACCAAGGCATGGTATCGCTTCAGTATCCCTTTCTATCTTGTTGGAGTCTTCTTTTGGGCTACTTGGGGCAAAAGCATAATAACAGTTTGCATCATGCCCATCAGCGTCTGCACCTATAGGGTGAGGTTTAGGAATATCTCAACAGGAACTGTTAGTTTGGCAAGTCCCATAGTCCCAAATCGGAAAAATCAGACTTGTTATCTCCTATTGAATTATAAATAAGGGTCTGAGCTTTGAAGTCAGAGACACCACAAGTGGCACCACAAGAAAAAC